TTTAAGTAAGTGAGATCTGGAAAACTGAGGTCAGAGGCTACCCTCTTTTTCAAGTTATCCAGAAGCTTAAACTAGTAAAGGTTGCCCTCAAAGATTTGAATAGGAGGAAATGCAGTGACATATCTGGTAGAGTGAATGAGATGAGGAAGAAGCTTCATGACATCCAAAGAGCCATGCAGCACCAGTCCAATCTCAGTCAACTCCAGCAGCTTGAGAAAGAAACCCTATCTGAGAAAGGCTTAGGCACAATGAAGAATCCTTTTAGTTGCAGAAATCTCGCAACTTTATTAGCTGGGGCTATCAGAAGGAGACCAAAACAAAAGTTTCTTCTTTAGGTCCATAAACATAACATAAAAAAAAGAGTCTATGTTCAGCTAGAGGATGGAACAATGCTTCAGGACTACAACCAAGTCAAAGCTGAGGTTGTTGGATACTACAAGGACCTCCTTGGATCCCCATGCTCTCTCTCTTATCCAGGGAAGGCTGCTATGAGGCCATTTATAACTAAGGTTATCAGTGAAGACCAAGCTGCCCAGTTGATCCAGGAAGTGTCTATGGAGGAGATTAGATCCACATTGTTTAGCCTGCACTCTAACAAGGCCCCAGGGCCTGATGGATTTAATGCCTTTTTCTTTAAAAGAACTTGGCACATTGTGGGGGAGGATGTGGTGAGGGCTATCCAATCCTTTTTCATCTCTGGGTGCCTCATCAGAGAAATGAATTCCACAATTATTGTGTTGGTACCAAAGATTCCCAATCCTTCTAAGTTGAGTGATTATAGACCAATCTCCTGTTGTAATACACTGTAAAAGTGCATTACAAAAATTCTGGCCAACAGAGTGAAGAGTATTTTGCCTCATCTCATTAGCTATGCTCAAGCTGCTTTCATAAAAGGTAGGAGGATAGGTGACAACATACTGCTTGCTCAAGAACTCATGAGGGGTTACCATAGGGATAACATCTCTCCCAGATGTGCTATCAAAGTGGATTTGAAGAAAGCTTATGACTCAGTTAGGTGGGATTTTCTGCTTGATGCTTTAGAGTTAATCAAATTCCCTCCTAAATTCATTCAATGGATTAAGTCCTGCATCACCTCTCCACTTTTCTCAGTCAGCATCAATGGTGAACTAGAGGGAGATTTTCCTGGGGCTAAGGGGTTAAGACAAGGGGACCCCATTTCACCTTACTTGTTTGTAATTGCTATGGAGGTCTTTACTATGATCACTGATAAGTTCACTAAGAGTGACCAGTTCAGCTTTCATTGGAGATGCAAGAAGACACTTACCACTCATCTAAGCTTTGCTGATGATCTTCTACTGTTTTGCTATGGAAATATGGCTTCTGCTAGCATACTCAAGGCTGCACTTGAAAAATTTTCTGAGTTGTCTGATCTCCAAGCAAACCATGCAAAGAGTCAGATCTTCACTGCAGGAGTGCATAATTCCACTAGAACTAATATCCAGCAACTGTTTGGGTTTCCACCAGGCCAACTCCCTGTGAGGTACCTTGGAGTTCCACTTATATCTACTAAGCTAAGAGGGGCAGATTGTAGAAGTCTTGTAGACAGAATGCTTGCTAAAGTGAAAAGTTGGACTTGAAAATGTCTCTCATATGCTGGAAGATTGCAATTGATCAAATCTGTTCTCTTTGGCATTCAAGTTTATTGGTCTAGCTGGTTTTTACTCCCTAAAGCCACTATTAGATCAATTGAGCAGATTATGAGATCCTTCCTATGGAGGGGTGCTGATTTGAAGCATACTGGGGCCAAAGTGGCTTGGGAAGATGTCACATACCCCAGAGAGGAAGGAGGGTTAGGACTCAAAAGAGTTGAGGACTGGAATAAAGCCATTATGGCTAAGCACATATGGAACTTAATGCAGCCTGTTACTAGCTCAATCTGGGTCACCTGGGTTAGAGCTTCTCTTATGAGGAACAGAAGCCTTTGGGATCTCCAGATTCCCCAGGACAGTTCATGGACATGGTCTTAAGCTTAGAGAACTTATCAGACCCTTCATCAAGTTCAGAGTTTGGAATGGGGAAAATGTCTTCCTTTGGTTTGATAATTGGCTCCCCACTGGGCCTATTCTATCCATTTTTGATGAGAGAGTCATATTGGGAGCAAGGCTGCCAAGGAATGCTAGAGTTAACAGTATCATCCAAGACCAACAGTGGGATTGGCCACAGTCCAGATCACATTTGGTAATGGAGTTGCAGCAGAGTTTGCCTTTAGGCTTTTGTCCTGTACCTGGGAGGCCTGACTCTGTCCTATGGATCCCTTCTCCCAATGGTTTATTCTCTACTCATTCTACCTGGGAGGCCATTAGGCAAAGGAACCCCCAAGTCAGCTGGCACTCAATTGTCTGGTTTACTCATATGGTTCCAAGAGCTTCTTTTTTCCTCTGGCTTGCTATTAGAGAGAAGCTTGGTACTCAGGACAGTTTGTTTCAATGGGGTATTATTACTAGAGTTAGCTGTGTATTTTGTAGAGGAAGNAGATGCAAGAAGACACTTACCACTCATCTAAGCTTTGTTGATGATCTTCTACTGTTTTGTTATGGAAATATGGCTTCTGCTAGCATACTCAAAGCTGCACTTGAAAAATTTTCTGAGTTGTCTGATCTCCAAGCAAACCATGCAAAGAGTCAGATCTTCACTGCAGGAGTGCATAATTCCACTAGAACTAATATCCAGCAACTGTTTGGGTTTCCACCAGGCCAACTCCCTGTGAGGTACCTTGGAGTTCCACTTATATCTACTAAGCTAAGAGGGGCAGATTGTAGAAGTCTTGTAGACAGAATGCTTGCTAAAGTGAAAAGTTGGACTTGAAAATGTCTCTCATATGCTGGAAGATTGCAATTGATCAAATCTGTTCTCTTTGGCATTCAAGTTTATTGGTCTAGCTGGTTTTTACTCCCTAAAGCCACTATTAGATCAATTGAGCAGATTATGAGATCCTTCCTATGGAGGGGTGCTGATTTGAAGCATACTGGGGCCAAAGTGGCTTGGGAAGATGTCACATACCC